TTTATTTCCATTCTTTTTAAACACTTCTCCAGTCTGGAAACCTTGAAGTTGTCTTGGATTTTTTCACCTATGTAGCTGATATTTTACCAGATATTACTGATTTTCTTAGAGTTTTAAGATATAATTCACATCATACAATTCACCCATTTAAAGCACAGAAGAAATTAGTGTTTTTTAATATGTTCTCAGAGTTGTGTAACTATCACTGCCATCTAATTTTGTATCTAGTATTTCCTGCTATCAAAATTAAACCCTATACCCATTAGCATTCATTCCTCATTCTCCTCTACCCCAATCCTGGACAAGCATTAATTTTTTTAGTATTTCTATGGATTTGCCTATTCTGGACATTTCTTTTAAGTGGAATCATGCAATACGTGTCTTTTCTGACTGCCTGTCACTTAGCATAACATTTTCAAGGGTCATGTGTGTTATAACATGAATCAGTATCTCATTCCTTTTTATGGCTAAGTAATACTACATTATATGGATAAACCACATTTTGTTAGTCCATTCACCAGTTCACAGGCATTTGGGTTGTTTTCACTTTTTCACTATTACAAATAACCTTGCTGTGAACATCTATGTACAAGTATTTGTGTGGCTGTATGTTTCAGTTCCCTCGGGTATATGCCTTAAAGTGGAATTGCTGCATCATGTGGTAACTCTGCACTCAACTTTTTGAGGAATTGCCAGATCGTTTTCAAAGCAGTTGTACTGTTATACATTCCCGCCAGCAGTGTGTGAAGCTTCCGGTTTCTCCACATCCTTGCCTACACGTGTCCATCTTTTTGATAAAAGTCATCCCTGAGTGGGTGTGATGTGGCACCTCATTGTGATTTTCATTTGCATTTCCTTAATGACTAATGAGTGATATTGAGCATCATTTTGTGTGCTTTTTGGCCATATAGATCTTCTTTGGAAAAATGTCCATTCCATCCTTGGTTCATTTTAAAATTGGGTTGTCTTTTTTATTATTCAGTCATAAGAATTCTTTATATATATTCCAAATACAAATCCCTCACCAAATAAATGATTTGCAAAATATTTTATTCCATTTGTAGGTTGCCTTTTTTACTTTCTTGGTGGTGTTTTTTGAAACACAAACATTTGTAATTTTGATGAAGTCCAGTGTATCTTTTTTTGTCACTTGTGCTTATGGTGTCATATCTAAGAAACCATTGCCTACCCAAAGGTCATGAAGGTTGACTCCTGTGTGTTCATCTAAGAGTTTCATAGCTTTGACTCTTACATTTAGGTCTTGATTTGTTTTGAGTTAATTTTTGCTTATGGTACAGGGTAGGGTCCAAATTTGTTCTGTGTATGTAGATCTCCAGTTGTCCCAGCATCATTTCTTGAAAAGACTATTCTTTCCCCATTTAATGTTTTAGCACCCTGTTGAAAATCACTTGACCATAGATGAAAAGGTTTATTCCTGGACTATTTTATTCCATTGATCATTATTGATTTTTAAGAAAAACAATTTATTCACATTTGCTTGCTATCTCTGATGATACCACACTAACCTAGGCCTTTCTGATCTGTACTTATTGAGCCCTTTTTGAGTACAGTTGCTAGGTGAATACTTCCAAACCTGTGCTTTCATCATATGGCTGCTGATGAAGAGTAGTCAGTTGGCTCCCCACCATGATTGCATTTGAAATAAACTCCTTTACCTGCTTTTTGAGGTTCGTCAGCTAGCTCTACCCAGCTCTCTGTATTTCTCTCCATTTTTAAAAATCATATCCTTTATAATCAGTGCTATTTATTTTATCTGAAAGTCATCAGCTCTTCATTTCTTGTATGCTCCACTTTCAGTTCTCTTTCCAGTTTAAAATGTAATACTACCCCAGCAAATTTAGAGCCTTTAATAATAAGTTGAAGTACATTGATCTCTTTCAGGTATGGTTTTTTAAAAGAATCACTTTTGTGTCATTCATTTTGCCACTTAATGTATGACCCAGTTCTGGTTTTTCATGCGTCTGTTACTTTCAAGGTCCTGTACTGGGTTCTACCTTGTTGTTACAGTTATTTTATTCATGTGGTAGCTTGTCTTCCTATACATGGTGTGCGCTATTTAAGTTACTTTTTCTAATCCTTTCAACACGGCTGAATATGAAGTTGATTTTTATATATAAAGGTCTGTAGTCCTATAATCAAAACTTTTGGGGGCCAGATGTATTTGGGAGCTTTTGTTCAGATTTTAGAAGGGTATTAAGCTTCATCTACCTTACTCACCCAAGAGTGCTCTGTGGTCAAATACATGAACATTTTTGCTGTTAAATATATTATGCAGTGGGGTGTAGGGCAGGATCCTAAGTTTAAAGATTGCTATTTCTATAGCAAAAAGTGAGTATTCACACTAAAGTTCAATAAGTAAATATAGTATAAATAGTCTCATATTAGTTCAGGTCAGATGTGGTTTGCTGCCAAATATGTTACAGTGATACAATTTGAATAGTTTTAGTTTCAGAATTGTGGATAGCAGATTGTGGAGCCCCATTATTTCTAAGTGTACTGTGTGATGGTAGAGTGGGCAAGCCCTGCCTCTTCTAGTGCCCTGCTGTGTCGCTAGATTTCCCTCCTGGGGCTCTTAGCTGCATTTTGTTCCTCCCACCCTTTTGTGCTCTGTACCACTTGGCTTATGTCACTCCTCTGTTCCCAAACTTCTGATGTTTTGCCATTTATTGTCCCTAGTGTGTTTGTGAGAAGAAGCTACGTATTCTTTAAGCCTCAATGATTGCAGAGAGGATGTGATGGTAATGCATGCAGAGGCATTTCCCTTCCTTTGGCTCTGTCTTCTCTGCAGGGAGTACTATGGGGGGACCATGTGATGTGGGGGGACCATGATGATGGCATACAGCTGTCTGGAATGACTGATGGAGCTTCCAGATCTTATCCTGGAAGAAGTTAAGCATTCTTCACCCACACAGAGGTTTCAGGCTCATTCAAGACCTTGTATAGTCTGTCTTCATTCTAACTTCTCAGACTAATAAGTTGCCATTCTTCAGATAAAAATATTGTATTTTTTATATTTATTTATTTAGATTTAAAGTTTTTTCTGTCTAAGCTGGCTTATTGAGCATCCTATGAACAACATATGAGTGTTTTCTTGGCTTTATGCATTTTCCTCAACATTTATTTTAATGTGAGACATTTCACTTATGTTGGTATTTAATTTTACAATATCCGATTGGTAGATCTGGCAGTATTCTAAAACTGGAATTGGATATGACTCATCTGGAGTCCATAGTTTTTGTTTTGTTTTGTGCTTTAAAACAATTGCTATTTTTCTTTTTAATTGCCTGATGCCTGGTGAAATTGCCAAAATGAAGCCATATTAGATATGGCATATTTATTTTTAGACACACATGGTAAGAATCAGACATCCTAGGATGTTTTAGCTGGAAGGAATACATTATTAGTGTAATGTTTTATGAATCAGGAAATTAAAATCAGCAAAGCTCTAAAGAGATTAAATATCTTGCCTAAAGGTACACAGCTAGATAGTGGTAGAACCAGAACTCTAATAGATTTTTCTGGAAATTTTTTTAATCCTGTGTTCTTTCTGTTTGGTGATAGAGCTGACATTTTCAATTGATTTTTTTTCCTCTTCTTTTAAGCAAATTTAATACTCTTTCTGGACTTGCAAAATTATTTTGTTTCAACCCATAGGAGTAAAAAAAAAATCACTTTGCCTTTTGGCACTAAATTGGTAAAAATACTATCCCACAGATGTGTCTGATTAATCAGATGATCAGAAAATGGTCTATGATTAGAGACTAGACAGCCTCTTTTATGCTTAATTTACTAGCAACAAACCAATGTAAATTATTTTTTGGTGTTTAAAGCTTATTAAGAACCTACCTGTATTCTGTTTCCTCACCTCAGGTGCATCTCTAACTTGAAGACAAGTTTACCCACACCATGCATGACTGATGGTGTTAGTACCACACCTTGGTTTTCTTTGTTAACCTGTGCTGTATACTGAATAGGAGCAATACTGATTAAAGAAAGTCATGAAAAAAAATCATGCCAATTTGAATTCATGAAATTAGAAGTTAGGCATCCAGTCAGAGCTTCTTAATTATTGGGTGGAAAAAAAACAGGAAATTCTGTATCATCATTAAAACTCAAAGCTTAAGGAGATTTGACTCTTGTGTGTGAAGGGAAGGGCTTTACATTTTCATGAGGTAGTTTGTTCAGAAAAATAGTCATCTAATGGGCTAAACATTTATAGTTCTCTAAAATCATGCCTGTCTCATATCAGTGAGTAAGGGCTGGCTGGGGAACCTGTAGGCCCCACAGGTCCTCCGTGTCCTGCCAGTTAGACGCCACCATGGCAGTGTGCCAAGCCTTAAGTTCTCTCAGTGGTATGTCAGAGTTTCTTCTTCTTTTCTGTTATCATATATTGTAGTTTTTAAGGGTGAGTCTGATTTAGGTTGTGCTGTGCTCTTTGCTGTGAATGACCCTGAGCAGATCTCTTCACTATCCTAGGCCTCTTGTTCCTCCTGAAATATGAAGAGATTGAACGTGAAAATCTCTTCATTTCCTAAGATTCTGCAGCTTAGCCGAATACTTTTTTTAATTGAATACTTTCTATGTGATGTAACAAGGAATAACAATACTCATCACCAAGAAAAGGAAAAAAAACAAATTGTATCTTTACCAGCAAAACAGCACTTTGGCTTTTTGGGTTTCTGTAATTTACAGTCACATATTTTTCAGGGTTGTGAGGAACAAGGAGAACCTAGGATAGATTTGTTCAGTGCTATTATTTGTTCTTATTTTTGTTGCTCTTTAACCTTTTAGAGTATTTTGTGTTTATAGAAGTAAAATGTGATCTCACACTGCGCAGCCCTAGTCTGGGTCCTGGGGACACTGGGGCTTTCTCACTGTCCTGAACTCCTTAGGAGAATATTGTCTATAGGGTTTGTTTGGTACCAGATGACACAGAACTCTGTCCAGTATAAATAACTCTTCCTGTTCTATTCTTTCAGCTTGGATTTACTTTTGGCAACCTGGTTGGAATGTATCTGGCTCAAAACTATGACGTAAGTGACATATCCACGTCCTCCTTGATTCCATGTCTAATTTGTAGTGACTTGTCTTTGTTGAAGTAAGGTGCGCCTTCCAGTATAAATGAGGTCCATAGATCTGAGGAAAAGTCCAGAATTTTATAGAAAGATTTTCTGTTGTTTGAAAAAAAATAAATGGAAGCATGTGACCTCTGTGTCATCACAAGAGGGCAAAATCCTGTCAGTTAGGTGGTCTCCTGATCCTCAGCTGTGTTTGCTAGCCCAGAGTAATTATTAAGTTAAATTTTTACAGTTCTGTGGACAATCATGTGGTAAGTGGGAAATTAAAGATGAATTGGAAACTCTTTTCAGTCCCCCTATAGAATAGTAGAGGTGACTGAGAATTTTGATGGTGGATCTATTACAGTGCAGCACATTTGAAGAGGATAGAGTTTTGTGAAGTGGGATGTTGTAGGCACTTCACTTTATAAAAGGGGAAGTTGAAAACCAGGTGGCAAAACTTCTCATGAATGGGAATTCTAGAAAGGTGTTACTTGTTTTAAAGAGACAAGGAAGGGAAACATGGGATTAACATCTGATTTGTTTTGTAGTGAAGCTTTCAGTGAGACAAAGCGAATTCTTCATCAAGCTTCACCTGAGTTACATAGTATTCTAGGCAGTGGCTTTATTAATTTATATTACATTTATTTTACTACAACTTTTGCTTGGCACTGGATTGAGAGGCTAAGTGGGTATACAAAAGTAGAAGTCATGGTCTGGCTTTCAGTGACAGAGCATTCTTTAACTTAAAACTTCTGAGGTCATTCTTACCCAGTTATGAGACTAAGAAATACCACCATTCAGATTTCTTTCAGAGGAAAGTGAAAACTTGTACAACAACCATTTATCTTTGGAGGAGGAGAAGTAAAAGAATACCAATTAGGTAGATGCAAAATTATAATAATCTTTTTTCTCTTCAAAGATACCAAACCTGGCTAAAAAACTTGAAGAAATTAAAAAGGACTTGGACGCTAAGAAGAAACCCCCTAGTTCATGAGGCTGACTCCAGCACTGCCTTCTGGATATACTGATTCTACTGTTCTTGAGGGCCTCCTTTGCCATCTGAACCAAAGCTTTGGTTTTACTCTCCAGCCTCAGCGATTTTCTTCTTTGCTAAACCCTGCATTGCCTTGGAGTACAAATGGCACCATAAGTTCAGAACTACCCCTGCTTTTCGAGCGTCCTCCCCTCTTCCCTTCCTCCTTCCTGCTGCCTGGGAGGTCCTGGACTGTTATGATGGTGCTAGATGAGTAAACATGACCTTTAATTACTAGTCTCTCCCGTATTCTTTGGGATTTCTTATTGCCTTTTTTCAAAAGAAAAATTGATGAGTTTTACATAGCCTATCAGAATTAATAATGCTAATTTCACAGTTTAGCAATTTTAATGGCTATTTAAACATTTGGTACTAAATTACATTGTTTCACAGTAATTAAAATTAAAATCTAAAAGCTAGTTTCTGCTGAATTATCCATTTATTCCATACTGGTGTCAGGCAGTTTCATAGTTGCTAATTTAACCAGTAAATGAGTTTGCTGGTTAGTAACTGAGAAACTGTATTTTGAAAACCCTGTCAGGAACTGGGGAGTCAAAAGAATATGTAAAATAAAGGCCTTTGTCCTCAGTAGACTTCATAGTCTAGTAGGCATGTTTTCCTTTGATGATGTATTTGATCTGGCTCTTTTCCCTCAAAGGAATCATGCTTACTTAAGGGATTACAGGTGCATTTGACATTACATGATGGAATAATGACAGGATGTCTATAAAGGAAGTTTTATGCATTTTCACATTAAAAATGTATTTACATTAGAACCTTAGTGATTCTTGTACGAAAACTTTGTTTTTTTTCTGTAGTCAGAAATTGCCATCATAATATGTCAAATGTATAGTCAGTCCATAAACATTTTTATACATAATTTTTTAAATTAAAATAAACCAATATATTATTTTTCCCCTGGGACAAGACGGAAAACTGATTTAGAATAAAGGGCCTTTCCCCCTCCTGCCCTCCAGCTCCTAGTCTTCCTGGAGGCAGGCATTGTCACCAGTTTACTGTTGACTTTGAGAAAGATTCTGTGCCTAACTAAACAAGTTTGCATATGGGTTTTTCATACTAATGATAACAAACTATATGTAGAGTTTACCCTGGACTTTTTTTTAATGGAGTTCATTCCATATCAGTATGTGAGGAACAATGAACCTCTTTCCTTTTTTGGCTGTGTTAGAGTCTATCGAATGGATATGTCATAATTTATTTAATCTGTTACTGATGAACGTTTAGGTTGTTTCCTGTGTTTTGGTATTACAGTGATAACCTTGAACCTAATATTGTTATATATATTCTATGCAGGGGATAGCTGTACGCTGAAGCCCTAGGAATATCATTTGCACTAAGTGGAGTTAAAGTCCCATTTCATTGAGAGTTTTGTTTTTGAGGACTTGTTGGGTAGCGTCACTGAGAATGCAATTTGTAAAGACGTTTTAGCAGCATCAGTAAACTTGAAGAATTATTTAGAGATACCTTTTTTCAGACAGTGATGACATTGATACTGTATGTGATTATAAAATGAGGTAATTCTGCTTCTCTTTGAAAACATGGGTCTCGCATTCATGGAGATAAGTTTTATTCCTGTCAGGTTGTCCTGGTGTGTGAGACAGATTATGATCATAGTATGGTTTGGCTTTTCCCCAGTAGTGTGATCTTGGGCAAGTGACTTATTTTTCTGAAACTGTTGTATTCTCTGTAAGATGTGAACAAATACCTACCTCATAGGGCCTCCATGAGAAACAGTTGAGATAATGTATGTAACGTGTTGAATAGTGCTTTGCACATTGCCCAATAAATAGTTGATATTTTCCAAACATGCTGCTTTTGTTCAGAATACTTGTGTTTTTCAGCAGTCACTTTTGGAATCAGCTTATGAACCATGCAAAATTTGTCATTATTCAGTGGTCCCTTTCTTGGTTGCTGATGAAAATCTACAGTATCCCTCTTGGTTATACCACCATGCCACTTGGCTTGCAAGATTTGATCTTGAAGACGGAATTGTTAGCATAATTGTTGTCAGGCAACTGCATCTGGGGAGGCCTCTCCCATTGCATTGGGTGAAACCTCAACCCAGACGGAAGGATTCTTGACTTTTATGGAGAAAGAACCAGGTCAGATGAGTAGGTAAGGAAGGAATTTATTAAATTGAGAGTAGAAGCTAGTGTCAGCAGGTGTGCAGGCAGCATAGAGCAAGGAAGAACAGAGGGGGGAAAGGGAAGTTCATTGAACGGCTTGGCACAGGACAAATCCCTTGCCAACTCATAAAGCCAGGGTCACCTGGCATCCAGTGTCTGCTTGAATCTGCACGATGTGGGAACTAAGTCCCTATCATCCCAGGATTTGGGGGAGGCCTGGAGCACTGGATAGAGTGAGATTATGTTCTGAGAACTTCCCAAAAGCAAAGAAAGGACATTTTCAGGGCAGGCTCCTAACAAGCATGATGGTACAGCTGCAGTCCTGTTTGGGTCACTCAGGCAATAGGAACTTGCAAGCCCAAATGAGAGATCTCAGTAGCCCTTCCCTACTTATCTGGAGAAGGACAGAGAGAATGAAAACTGTGCTAAAGTCTGGAAAATTGAAATAAATAGGGAAGTAACAAAGATGCTTGCCACTGGAAGAACTCAGCAACAAAACAGTAATTTGACCAGTGAGACGTCTTTATTTAGGGCAAAAAGTATACACTCGAAGAAAAGGAAGTACAGGGAACCTCAGAGAGGAGATGTTGCATAAGGGTTTAGGATTCTGTCTTTTAAGGCTTTTAAGAATGGGGCAAAGTGGGGTGGGGAGATGGGGGACAGTTTAGGCTTGACTTGTGGTCTCATGATGTCTGTCTTGGTTAAAGACATTATGTCAGCAGCCATAGTCAGTTCTCTAGATAATTCTGTAAGATAAACTTAACACAAGGAATTTCTTGATCCTCTTCTCCAAGATAGTGGTTGCCCTCAAGTAGCCGGGACATACCAGTTAGGACTGCCTGCCCTGCCTTAAGATAGGGTTGGTTATTGGCTGATTACCATAAAATATGTTAAGAATCTTATCTTCTAACTCTCTGGTTTTTAAAATGGAATCTTAGCCTTAAAATGGAGTCCCTCCTGTTCTTACTATACTATTTATATTTCAGCATTTTTCATCATAGGAAAAATTAATCATGATGCTTGTCCCATGTCCCTGTCCTGCCTTATAATAAACTACAATTTTGAAGGATAAAGCCTTACCATCCTTGAGGGTGTTCAAAATACTACAAGCTTAGAGACATGTTTCCAAGGAGAAATTTCTTATTACCAGTCTTGGTAGCATTGTTATTTGTATCTGGCTTCTTTGGGGATGAAGGTCACTTAGCTGTTAGGAGAATAGGTCTCTCTATTATACCTTGTAAACAAAGTTGATTTGGATTTAGGACTTGCTTTTAACCTCGCTGATAAGATCATTTCTACCAGTGGGAGCCATCCAGCAAATCAGTTCTGCGTTTACCTTCAGCATGTAAAGTGCTTCCCAACGAATACAGGTTGACTTAGTGGTCACTGTTCAGGTATCCTTTCCTAGTTTTAGGTTCATACAGAAATGAAGAGGAGCTCAGAGTTCTCAGGCAAGTATCTTCCCTGAGATAGAAGAGGAGCCCATAACTGTTGCAGATTTTAGGGTTATAGTTGAACATGCATAGTTAGGTTCCTGGGTGTTTTGAAGGGACCCTTGCTTCGCCCACAGAGGGATGGGAAGAACCACTGCAAGACATGCCTTCTTTGCCTTTTAAAAAAGTTTGAAAACTGTTAATGTGATTTAAGAAAACTACTTGCCACACCTGACCATAAAAGGAAGGTTACCCAAAAATACTACTGAAGATGACTCACGTAAAAAATAAGATTTCAGGATTAATGTGAGAACTTAATAAATACATTGAACTTGAAAAAGCTTATCCTTAAACTGTAACCCTCCCAACCAAAAGGAGAGAAAAACCAAAACAACCTTATTTAAATTGGTCAAAAGGGGCTGTGTTTTATGAGTTGAAGTTAACAATTGATGTCTTTAGACTTTTCTTCTGATTTAAAGGAATAATTTTATGTTTTTTTAACTCATTTACTCAATTTTCATTTGTGTGACTATAAAGTTGTGTCGTTTTTCTAGTTGTGCATATGGGTTCTTAGAACATATGTACACATGCATAATGTTTTCATTTCCACTAAGCAGTTCACTCCCTAGATACTATGCTAGTGTTTGTTTTTCTGCTGAGGTTTCCTTCATTTTTAATGCTTTTTCTGTTATTCCTCCTGAAGGAACACTGTATACTGAACTGGAGCAAATGAGGCTTTTCTTAAACTTCCCGTCTTGCACTTTGCACGTAGAATTTCCATTCCTTATGCAGATGAATGAGTTCTTTTTTCCCTAGTGACTATTAGGGCCTTGTGGAAAGGAATAGGGTAGTGAAGGGAAAATATTTTTGAGACCTTGCCTGGTCTTAATAGGGAACTTGGGACACTTACATTTTCAAATGTTGAATTTATACCTTTCCTAAATCTGGGTACAACATATTTATAATCAAGTACCAAAAACCTAATGAATGGCATGTTTTGCAAGGCATTGAGGAACAACAGAGCACTGAGGTTTTTTTTAAATGAAATGCCTTTCCTCTTCATTCAATATCTTTTTTTTAATTATCATTGATATACAATCTTATGAAGGTTTCACATGAGCAACATTGTGGTTACAACATTCACCCATAGTATCCAATCTCTCCCCCTGCCCCCAACCCATTGCAGTCACTGTCCATCGATGTAGTAAGATGTTATAGAGTCTTTACTTGTCTTCTCCATACAGAACAGTGAGTTTTGCAGAAAGTTCATGGGCTGGAGCATTGTGGAACCTAAGTCCTGGGCCTGTTTGAATCGCTGCCTCTGTGGTGAAACTCTACCTGCAGTGTGGCTGCACCGTCCTTACACAAACAGTTGGGTAGGATGCGGGTAAGGAAAAAGTGCATGTGAGTAATGCAGGCAGCTGTGCTCAGAATCCATTCAGTGAGGGCGCCCCAAAATGCACTGCCTTTGTAGTTGGGCCTCTGTCCCCTTTGTGTTCTAGTAGTTAGAACACCTTGCTGTATTGAGAGTAATTCTAGTGTTTAGGTACACTTTTTCAAATATGGTCCTTAATTGTGGAGCCAGCTACTTTATTTGGTATTCAGTTGAAGAAACAGGGATCTATTCTGACACTGGAGGGAAACTTGCTATTTTTCATTTACTAAAAGATGGCACATGAGTCTTTGTGCCATGTAAATGCTAACATAAAGATCATACATCTTGTATTGCATCAGTGACTTAAAGGAATTTCAAAGACAACCTTGACTAAGTAAATTTGATATATAACTAACTCTGTTTCTCAGTTTTCTCATCTATAAAAGGAGCTGGTATATCACTTACAGCTTTTCCATTCATAGAGTATTGAGATATTAGAAAAATAAGCTAAATTATATATTTGCAGGAGACTCAAGACTACTACTGAGCGCTATTACGTACTGTCCAGCTGTGGAGGGACTTTAGATGACAGGGAGTTGTTGGTCATACCTGGTATTTCTTGTCTCGGATGAGTAGTCTTGTTGGCTCTGAATCTCTGGTTTTGGGGGAGAACAGTGCTGTTCTTTAGAACGGTCAATAGACGGGACTGAAATAAACGCTCCTTGTACACGGGCTGCTTGAAGCATTAGCAGCAGCAGCACCTGGTGGTAGTTGCAGTGGGACTTGCACTGTGTTCCCATTAGGAGTGGGTCAGGTTCTCAAATAACTGAACAATGGCTGCGAATTACAAGTCAACCTTTCTTTCTCTTTTTACTTATTTATACTCCCAGAATCTTATTGATTATCTGCACCTTTGTCTTACTGTCTGACTTAGAAGCTTGGTGTCTTAAGGTCTGTAATGGGTCAGACATTTGATGATTTGGCTACTCTGACAATAGGAGTAACTCCTTGACTCTCTAGAACATTTTAAAGTAAAATAACTAGAGGTGCTGGCTTGATCAAACCAGCTACCTAATATTGGTATTTTATTTGTGGCCAAACAACTTGGCCTAAGCTAATTGACAGGGAAGAAGCAATAATATTCCTGGTTAAACCTGATCAGTCACGTGCTGTGGTCAGAGTGTATAAGTGTTGACTGGCACAAAAGAAACAACAGTTCACAGGTACTCCGTAAACTATAGGAGTGACTTTATTGGTAAGTTATTGTGGGAGAACTGCATATGCTATCAATAGTGACTTAAAATCAACAAAAACAATGTACTAACAATTGGATACTACTTTCCCATAAGGTGGAGTTAGCAGGTAACTAGTGGTAGAAATCAGAAATCTGTAATGCCTACATACTGGGGGCATTGGGAGCTATACCCAGTTGTAGAGCAAGGTCATCTATCATGGAGAATGTGGCCTGGGATTTCAGGAGGAAGAGAGAGGCTTTGGTTTCCAAAGTGATTTTTCACAAGAGAAACATACACAGTTTACTTTATTGTGTAAGTTGCTTGGGATTTAAAGAGATGTAAGATCTCTCTCCTCCCTTCCAGGGCCTCACAGACTTACAGAAAGTGGCTGATGTGTTTGGACTTTTCTGTACTTGTCTTCTTAGGAGCAAACTACCCATTATGTCCAGAAGAAAGTCAGTCAAATATCATAAGTAGTGCTGTGATCTTAATTATAGTTTAGCTTCCTTAGTAAGACAGGTATGAAAGGTTTTTTTCTCCCTCACAAACTTAACCAGTGCAGCAGTATTGATGCTTTGTGATGAACAAAGAGAAAGAGAGGCTTCCTTCTGCTGTCTGAAAGTGGAACATTCCTGTGAGACCTTTCCAAAGTCAAAATGGCATCAACTGAAGAACCAGTTACCATTAATTTAGATGGAAAAATTTTCTCCCATCCCCAGACCCAAAAAATAATCTCACCCATGCTTTTATGATATCTCTGGACATGTATTGCTAATAGATGCACAAGATAAATCTAGATAAAGCACAGACACATATGGTGTAAAGCTCTGGTAGCTTGATACCAAGCTGCTGAGTGTGGTTTTGGGAGAGGAGCCTGGCAGGGCCGCTCTTGCTGTGCAGGTGCCTGGGGCCTGCATAAGTCTCTCTGCCAAACAAACACAGAACACTCTTTTTGCTTTTCACCTGTTTTGTAAAAGCGAAAATCCTCTTTGGATTTCTTTCAGGTAGCAAAAACAGGCACTGATGATGCAGGTCTTTTGTGAAAGTGAAGTGTCATAGTGCGAAGCAGAAAGTGGGGGATACCTGTACTGAGTCAGTGTGTCTTCTTTCTCTACTTTTCCTTTGACAAAGAGAAGAGCACCCACCTCTTTCTAAAGGGGAATACTATGTCTTTACAGGATTTGGTGCCAAGGTAAAAGGAAACCACTGAAGAGAATGCCTGCCGGGGAATCAGTAGTGATATATGAGCCCTGATTGCCACAGAGAGCATTGACTAAGAATTGCCTTTTTGTGGAGAGAACTTAGGATAGAAACACTTCAGAGAAAGGAGCTGTCACCAGGTCTCAAGTTTGGGTGAGCTGTTCTCCCAGAAGAGGAGATGGCACTGGTTTCACTCTCTGTGCACAGGTGGGATGATCTGGGTTTCTCCTGTAACTCCTAAGTCGGGATTCAGAAAAGAAGAGTAGCGTCCAACTTAGTGAGGCTGGCCAGCAGGGGGGGCCTAGCCACCGAGGAGCAACTAAGACAGGCTGTCTTCTTTTCCTGTCTTCGGAAAGAACTGGAGAGACTGGCCAGCAGGAAGTGAGAAGGATTTTAAGTTTCTTGAGCCCTGCACCTCGGAAGGAGGCCAGGGAAGACAGTAACATCCCAGTGTGCGTTTGCAGTCATGGAGGCTTTGGGCGCCGCCCTGGGCGGTGGATGCAGACTCCCGCGGCACTGCTGGCACTTTCCTTGGCTGCCTGGCCAGATTCTGCTGGACACTGGCATGGCTGCTCTTTTGGTTGGGCCACATGCCCTCTTGTGTTAGAATTGATCAGTGATGTTACTGACCTGAGCCCAGGCCGGAAAAGTGTCCAGGTGGAAGAGGCTAACTCCCCATGTATTGATGGCCACCATCACTATCACCAAGCCAATGACATTGACCCCCAGGCCAGCTTTCACCTGCAGGACACAAGCCAGCACACCTGAGTCACTGTGAGCAGGCAGCACACATCCCCACGTTCTCCCTACCCATGCCCCGCCTAAGCCTTGCCGCTGACATGACCACAGTCCATGCGGTTGGTCCTGATCTGTTCCCTCTAGGGTTGCCTCGTATGGTGGCATGGGACTGTGGAAGGATGGGAAAGGCAGGAAGGGCTTGGGCTGGGAGGTCCCTTAGGACCATCTCCATTTGTAGCACTTTGACTGCCAAGTGGAGACCTAGGAAGTGTGTGCTTGGAACACCAGATCTTGGAATGTAAAGACTTATCATTTACTAAAAGATGGCACATGAGTCTTTGTGCCATGTAAATGCTAACATAAAGATCATACATCTTGTATTGCATCAGTGACTTAAAGGAATTTCAAAGACAACCTTGACTAAGTAAATTTGATATATAACTAACTCTGTTTCTCAGTTTTCTCATCTATAAAAGGAGCTGGTATATCACTTACAGCTTTTCCATTCATAGAGTATTGAGATATTAGAAAAATAAAGCCAAATTATATATTTGCAGGAGACTCAAGACTACTACTGAGCGCTATTACGTACTGTCCAGCTGTGGAGGGACTTTAGATGACAGGGAGTTGTTGGTCATACCTGGTATTTCTTGTCTCGGATGAGTAGTCTTGTTGGCTCTGAATCTCTGGTTTTGGGGGAGAACAGTGCTGTTCTTTAGAACGGTCAATAGACGGGACTGAAATAAACGCTCCTTGTACACGGGCTGCCTGAAGCATTAGCAGCGGCAGCACCTGGTGGTAGTTGCAGTGGGACTTGCACTGTGTTCCCATTAGGAGTGGGTCAGGTTCTCAAATAACTGAACAATGGCTGCGAATTATAAGTCAACCTTTCTTTCTCTTTTTACTTATTTATACTCCCAGAATCTTATTGATTATCTGCACCTTTGTCTTACTGTCTGACTTAGAAGCTTGGTGTCTTAAGGTCTGTAATGGGTCAGACATTTGATGATTTGGCTACTCTGACAATAGGAGTAACTCCTTGACTCTCTAGAACATTTTAAAGTAAAATAACTAGAGGTGCTGGCTTGATCAAACCAGCTACCTAATATTGGTATTTTATTTGTGGCCAAACAACTTGGCCTAAGCTAATTGACAGGGAAGAAGCAATAATATTCCTGGTTAAACCTGATCAGTCATGTGCTGTGGTCAGAGTGTGTAAGTGTTGACTGGCACAAAAGAAACAACAGTTCACAGGTACTCCGTAAACTATAGGAGTGACTTTATTGGTAAGTTATTGTGGGAGAACTGCATATGCTATCAATAGTGACTTAAAATCAACAAAAACAATGTACTAACAATTGGATACTACTTTCCCATAAGGTGGAGTTAGCAGGTAACTAGTGGTAGAAATCAGAAATCTGTAATGCCTACATACTGGGGGCATTGGGAGCTATACCCAGTTGTAGAGCAAGGTCATCTATCATGGAGAATGTGGCCTGGGATTTCAGGAGGAAGAGAGAGGCTTTGGTTTCCAAAGTGATTTTTCACAAGAGAAACATACACAGTTTACTATATTGTGTAAGTTGCTTGGGATTTAAAGAGACGTAAGATCTCTCTCCTCCCTTCCAGGGCCTCACAGACTTACAGAAAGTGGCTGATGTGTTTGGACTTTTCTGTACTTGTCTTCTTAGGAGCAAACTACCCATTATGTCCAGAAGAAAGTCAGTCAAATATCATAAGTAGTGCTGTGATCTTAATTATAGTTTAGCTTCCTTAGTAAGACAGGTATGAAAGGTTTTTTTCTCCCTCACAAACTTAACCAGTGCAGCAGTATTGATGCTTTGTGATGAACAAAGAGAAAGAGAGGCTTCCTTCTGCTGTCTGAAAGTGGAACATTCCTGTGAGACCTTTCCAAAGTCAAAATGGCATCAAGTGAAGAACCAGTTACCATTAATTTAGATGGAAAAATTTTCTCCCATCCCCAGACCCAAAAAATAATCTCACCCATGCTTTTATGATATCTCTGGACATGTATTGCTAATAGATGCACAAGATAAATCTAGATAAAGCACAGACACATATGGTGTAAAGCTCTGGTAGCTTGATACCAAGCTGCTGAGTGTGGTTTTGGGAGAGGAGCCTGGCAGGGCCGCTCTTGCTGTGCAGGTGCCTGGGGCCTGCATAAGTCTCTCTGCCAAACAAACACAGAACACTCTTTTTGCTTTTCACCTGTTTTGTAAAAGCGAAAATCCTCTTTGGATTTCTTTCAGGTAGCAAAAACAGGCACTGATGATGCAGGTCTTTTGTGAAAGTGAAGTGTCATAGTGCGAAGCAGAAAGTGGGGGATACCTGTACTGAGTCAGTGTGTCTTCTTTCTCTACTTTTCCTTTGACAAAGAGAAGAGCACCCACCTCTTTCTAAAGGGGAATACTATGTCTTTACAGGATTTGGTGCCAAGGTAAAAGGAAACCACTGAAGAGAATGCCTGCCGGGGAATCAGTAGTGATATATGAGCCCTGATTGCCACAGAGAGCATTGACTAAGAATTGCCTTTTTGTGGAGAGAACTTAGGATAGAAACACTTCAGAGAAAGGAGCTGTCACCAGGTCTCAAGTTTGGGTGAGCTGTTCTCCCAGAAGAGGAGATGGCACTGGTTTCACTCTCTGTGCACAGGTGGGATGATCTGGGTTTCTCCTGTAACTCCTAAGTCGGGATTCAGAAAAGAAGAGCAGCATCCAACTTAGTGAGGCTGGCCAGCAGGGGGGGCCTAGCCACCGAGGAGCAACTAAGACAGGCTGTCTTCTTTTCCTGTCTTCGGAAAGAACTGGAGAGACTGGCCAGCAGGAAGTGAGAAGGATTTTAAGTTTCTTGAGCCCTGCACCTCGGAAGGAGGCCAGGGAAGACAGTAACATCCCAGTGTGCGTTTGCAGTCATGGAGGCTTTGGGCGCCGCCCTGGGCGGTGGATGCAGACTCCCGCGGCACTGCTGGCACTTTCCTTGGCTGCCTGGCCAGATTCTGCTGGACACTGGCATGGCTGCTCTTTTGGTTGGGCCACATGCCCTCTTGTGTTAGAATTGATCAGTGATGTTACTGACCTGAGCCCAGGCCGGAAAAGTGTCCAGGTGGAAGAGGCTAACTCCCCATGTATTGATGGCCACCATCACTATCACCAAGCCAATGACATTGACCCCCAGGCCAGCTTTCACCTGCAGGACACAAGCCAGCACACCTGAGTCACTGTGAGCAGGCAGCACACATCCCCACGTTCTCCCTACCCATGCCCCGCCTAAGCCTTGCCGCTGACATGACCACAGTCCATGCGGTTGGTCCTGATCTGTTCCCTCTAGGGTTGCCTCGTAGGGTGGCATGGGACTGTGGAAGGATGGGAAAGGCAGGAAGGGCTTGGGCTGGGAGGTCCCTTAGGACCATCTCCATTTGTAGCACTTTGACTGCCAAGTGGAGACCTAGGAAGTGTGTGCTTGGAACACCAGATCTTGGAATGTAAAGACTTACGCTAAAAGTGGTCCTGCAGCCACATGGAAGGGAAATGTGTTAAACAAAATTAACCAGAGCTCTTTAAAGCAGGAACTTCTCAGAGCCTTCATTGTGCTGACATGGGGACCTGTAGAAGAGACTATTTCTATGAAGCTTTTGCCACTGCCACCTTTTTTTCCCCACAAGGAACAGCAAATGGAGTAGTGTGCCTTGGGTTCACTTGGAGAACCAGGGCAGCTGCTTCTGCTTGTCCTTTCATGGGAAGGTGACACAGGCATGCTTCTTTCTTCTGAGAGAATGTCACCTCAACAACTCTGGCCCTTCCATTTCTGCCATGGCATTGACACTCGCAGGCTGAGGGGGATGTGAGGGATGACAGCGGGCAGAGCCAGGGCCAGACGGAAAATACCCATAAGGATAGCTGACATCTTGCCAGGGAGTAACCAACCACACAGTGTGTAGCCAGTCTACTAGCCAGCGGTAAGTTGGGAAAATTGTGAGGGAAAAATGAATGCTAGGAAATTGTTCCAAGCAAAGAGCTAGACATGTCATTTCTCTGCTCTCTGGCGGAAGCCATGGACTTACTAATCATCTTGGGCTTTTGGCTTGGAGAACGCCCGTGTTCCCTAGCAGGTGGGAGGGGGCAGATTATAAAGAACTCATTTATAAGGTCATTTATAATAGAAGAGGTCATAAATTAGAACTGAAATGGACCATGTAGAGCATCTTGCTTGAAGTTCCTCATTTAGCAGATGAGGAAATTAAAATCTTGAATCAGAATAGAACCCAGGACTGGCTCATTTCTTGTCATCTGGTGCCTGTCAAAGTTACTGTCTCTGATCACTTGATTCCAGGGTAGAATGGTGGGGGCATAAGGCAGAGGAAGTCGGGGGACAGGAGAGTTGGGACAGAGCTCAAGTCTTGAGCAGATAGGGTTGTGTAGTAAGATGAGAGAGAGATGGGTGTCTGTGACCTCCCCTAAACTACAGATAATTTAGATGAGTGGCGTGCACAATAGAAAGTATCTGAGCATTTGCTACAGCCTGAGGCTCTTCCTTCTTTTCCCCTACTTGGTATTTACGGGACTGCTGAGAATTGAGTTTGTGGACTCTAGTAAAAAAACAATTTTGAGAGCTTCAGTGAGGATGAAAGGGCCCCAGTAATTTGCATTTGTTTTTTTTCAGCCTCCCCTCCAGCCCCATCAGCCCTGGATAGTAAGGAGCATAGCAGTGAGTATAGGTTGAGGAATGGAGAGTAGTTATGCCCAACTCTAAAATCTGTGACAAAATGTCTCCTTAGCTATCTTCTGCGGGCTCAGCTGACAGCTCAGGAATGAGCTGTGGGTGCTTCGTTTTGCCATTGTTGCTTCAGGGCTCTTGCTTGGGGATATGTTCAACAGCTGAGCCTGTTCTCACAAAATAACCTTTCACCCTAGGTTCATATGGTTTCACATACTTCACCTTCTGTGAATAAATGAGCTGCTTTTTGAATGAGTATCTCCCCTGGGCCAATGAAGAAACTAAGGCAAAGGCTTGTGCAGGTTCATGCCTTCTGGAACAGGGCCACACCCTGTGTCTCATCCAGCTTTCTCTGTCAGTATACCCACTTCCTCTCAGATAAGGGGTGAGGAGAACACTTCATTGCTATTCTTGGTGCTTATGGACCAACCAGAATCCTTTTTACCAGTCCCATTTTTTTTGAGCACACAGATTGAGGGTTCACAGGCTAAGGACACTGCTACAAAATAACAGACTTGAGGCGAAGGCTGTGGAGCCAGTCATCCCTGTCCTTCCAGTAGCTGGGCCTGGCAGGAAGAGGCCACCCATGACTCACCATGTCTTTGATCTGGCAGTGCCCGTAGCTGAAGACAATGGCGTTGGGGGGGTTGCCCACAGGCAGCATCACTGCAAACGAGATGCACATGGTGACGGGGATCAGGGTGTAGAGGGGATTAATGTGCAGCGTTTCAGCCTAGGGGAAGAGAGGTTTCACAGAAACAGGAGCATTGAGGTTAGGCTGGCTTTTCTTGTGCTTAACATCACAAATGTGCTTTAAATGATGGCTTGGTGTTGGATAAGCTGAGCTGGATACTGTGTAAGGGGAAGTTAATTCTGTCCTCAAGGTCATGCAGTGCTGGGCAACCGGGATGGACTCCTGTTGCTCCCTCACTTCCCTTGGAGACATGGGTTTGAGTTACTTCCTAGAAGGGATGTTTCATTTCTGGGTGCTCCAAATTTCTTCTTAGCTGAGAAATTCTTTGTTTGAACTCAAATCTCATGAATAAACTGCTTTGATTGAAGTAGGGATCCCTCATTCTTAGGTGCAGAACTAAGATGTTTTTTCTGGGTAAGATGCTTGTTTGTATGGGGTTTGAACCCATGGTCTTGGCTTTCAGTGTTGCCAGATTTTAACTAAGTGCACTCTTGTGCTCACACACCTGAGATGATGGGAGGGAGACGTGGGAGGGAGACATCTGAGCAATGAGGAGAGAGAGTGGCTGGGGGAAGTTTGGCCTTAGAAGGAGCAGGAGGGTTGTTATTTTGTTGGGAATGGGGAGGAGCCTTCACAGGTTCCACCTCACAGAAGGGGTCAGATGGAGCATTTTGAATGCTGCCTTACCTGTGGGACTGTTGAGCCAGTTGCTCCCCTACCCTATTCCACTAGTAACAAATTGTTAATTGATAACAAACTGGAATGAGGCTGGCGTTGCTCACGATTTTCAGACCCTCCTGGACAGAGGCACTGGGTGAAGTGGTGATTCCAGTTGGAACTGTGGTCTTGAACTTTGCAGCAGAGTATACTTCTGGGTGGATTTTGCCTCCGTGTTCTGTAATTACTTATGCAGCCCTACTGTTAGGTCTTACCTCAGGAGAGAAAGGCTCATGATGATTGTGGGAATTGGAATCCTAGGGTTTTTAGGTTATTTTGTCCGTTCTTGTTTCCATTCAGGGCTGCCCCTCAGCTAATCCTAGACTTTTGGAAAAGGGCTTCTAGAACCCTTGCTGTGATTTATTAATTTGTCTATTTACTTATCAACTGCTGTTTGAGACCCTTCATATTCACAGTGTGGCTTGAGCACCAGTCAGTAAAGGTTGTGGCAATGACCAGAGGGAAGAGGACAGCCAGGGAACGGCCCCCTGGGCCCAAGCCTGCCCTTCTGGACATTTGGAAGCCCTGCTCTACTCACCAGGCTGCACAGGATGGGCAGGAAGATGGTGATGGTGGCTGGGTTGCTCACGAACTCTGTGACAATGGACACCAGGATGCATGCCAACAGGGTGACGGCCCACGGTGGGAGGTTGCTCAGAGACAGCATCTGGTGCCCAATCCACGTGGAGAGGCCAGAGCTCTACAGGAAGGCAAGGTGATTCCCCATGGAATTGTTAGACTGCAGAAGGTCAGGGATGCTGGGGGCTTATCTAATTTTCTTCCCCATTTTCAAGCAGATTGGATCCAGAGGCACTCCTGGCTTTTATGATTAGATCATTTTTGTAGCCCAGAAAATTCTTTTTTGTGATTGTACAATATTTAGCGATTCCCAATGGAATTGTTAGACTGCAGAAGGTCAGGGGAGTTGGGGGGTTATCTAATTTTCCTCCCCATTTTCAGGCAGATTGTATCCAGAGGCATTCCTGGCTTTTATGATTAGATCATTTTTGTAGCCCAGAAAGTTATTTTTTGTGATTGTACAGCATTTAGTGATTCCCAATGGAATTGTTAGACTGCAGAAGGTCAGGGAAGCTGGGGGGTTATCTAATTTTCCTCCCCATTTTCAGGCAGATTGGATCCAGAGGCATTCCTGGCTTGTATGATTAGATCATTTTTGTAGCCCAGAAAATTATTTTTTGTGATTGTACAACATTTAGCTGTAGGGTTTCCTGGTAAGTCACTCTTACATGGCATGGACAGCTGCCCACGCTAATTGCCATGATTTCTCTTTAGGACCTTGCAGTGATGGCTTGGCAGGGGTTGGAGATATTTGGAGTGATCAACCCCTCAACTTGAATCTCATTACTCTTTCTCAGGACTCTGACACTTGCACTGTATGCACCCAACCTGTGAGCTTTATGCAGACTGCCAAGTGTAATCCTTTATTCTGCTTCTGAAATCTATTTCTTATTTTATCACCTGTGAAAGGGAAAGAATTAACATCTTTGCATAGTAACCTTTCTTGCGGTGTGCGCAGTGAGTGGGCAGGGCTGAGCATTTGAAGTTTTACATGAGTAATGAAAGAGAGAGGGATTACAAACCTATCTCCATTTAATGGGGACAGTACTGCCTCAGTGGCCTATAAGCATTGTCATTCAGCCCCATCCTGTTTTAGGTTCAAATCTCATCATGAGCCAATATCAGGACCTAGAATCTGCCAGCGCTTTGTGACGACACAAGATCTGAAGGCATATTGACACTCTTGAATCTTTTCCATTAGTAACATTTATACATATCCAGTCCAATAACTGAATATTCCTACTTGGAGTAATTCATTTGGTTGGAAGCTGTTCATCTGCTAGTGGCTCTCTCCCCTCCCCTAAAAAATGAAGGGCGTCATTGAGTTTTTGCAGCAAAAACCCTGGTTGCCATATGCAGCCTCCTTCCCTCCCTCCTCTTCCTTCTGTGGTTGGCATGCTCTGACTTGGCACATTTACCCTAGAGACAGCAAACGCAAAAAGAAATAGGGAGTAGGGCCAAAAGGAAGGTGAGAATTTTATGATCCTTGAAGCTGTAAGTACTACTCATGTTTTACTGTTAAAACGAGCCCTACTATATTGTCAGCAGGCTACTTTTTCTCCTCATTTCCAGATTCATCAAAAGCTCATTTGATCTCCTAAGCACCCTGGCCAGCCATGGCCAACTCGTAGACAGCTGATGACTAGAGGCCTTCAGAATTCTCTGTTGTAGCCGTTTTACTTTGGAGCACTTTTCTTTCCTTTTTCTCTCAACTGACTAAGAACTACAAATCAAATATATGGAGACTACAGCAATTAATGGTTGATACAGAGCCTGGAGGCCTACAAGGACTCTGTTATCTCTTGAAGCACATTAAATGGTGCTCACTGGACAGAGATGGGGGAGGAAGAGCAGTTGGTTGAGTGGAAACAGTGTATTTTATAGAGAAATGGAGCTTTATTTATCACATTATCCGTATAGTACTTGTAAGTAAAGTGAAATAATGGCAGTTATTTTTTCCAGAAGAACTATTTTGTACTATAATTTGAAATAAACTGATAAATTTGACTGCAAAGTTAGGGAAAAAAACACAACAAAGGAAGTCTTGATTTTTTAAAGCCTTGGTCTGAAAATATTTTACATTGGATTTTCCTCACTAATGTCAAGATGACAAAATTATTTTAAACTCAGTAGGAATCAAATATTATACCTGAATTATACAATTAAAATCAGTAAAAGTAGGTTTTATGGAAATATCAACTATTCGGTCTGTAATGCCTACATAATTATGGTTAAAAAAATCTTTTCAGGCTAGACTCAGGTGAAAACTAAACTAAATTGCAGTGAGGATAAATATGATATTTTGAACTTGGAAGTAGAAATACTGACAGAAATATTGACAGCATATATACAGCAATGGTTGAGGAACGTCAGGCTTGGTAGTGGCCAGCAAAAGAGGGAGGGTTTTAGCTGACGCAACGTCCGTCTAAGTGTTGACATGAGGGCCAGTGAAGCCTTATAAACGCTTACATTGAAAAATACAGGATAGTGCTTGGGGCGTAAAACTGCTTCACTCCGTGGTAGACTGACCCCCTCTGGCCCACATTTGAATAAGGCCAAGGGCAAACAATGAGTCTTGAGGAGAGAGACCGCATACTAAGGGGTTGCTACTTCCATGAGGAACCGTTTCAGGAACAAGGATTTTAGTTGGAAAAAACAGGATCTAAGAGAATCTAACAACTGTCTTTATTATTTTAATAATTATTACCGAGGACAGGGTTCCAGAGAACAGAACCTGAGCCAGCAGTGGAAGACAGAAGACCTGAGCTGAAAGTGAAGAACAGCTATTCTTTGTTTCCTGCCTAGGGAGTGCCCTGTCACCGGTCAAGGCACATGACATGCCACAGGTGTCACAGAGGGAAGTCTCACATTGAGTAGGAGATGGGACTTGGTGTCTTTCAAGGTTCCTTCCAGGTACAGGATTTTGTGACCTCATTATTAGTGTTGCAGACAGCACTGGCCCACAGGGAATGGGCAGTCAGAAGGGAGCCAGTGTAGACTGGGTTAATGTATCAAGAGGAGGTGGAGGGAGGAACCGTGTGAATCATAACATGATTCGCTCTTAGGATCGCTTCTATTCTAGGGAGGTATATCATGTTGGGAAATTCAGCTATTGCACTGTAGCCTCCTCTAAAAGATCTCATCCCAAACACTTCCAATCAGAAACTCAGGGAGCAAGGCACTCAGTGCATGTGTGTGGACTGAGGGACATTTTGCTGTGTGTCAATTTGGGCTGTCTCTGAGCTCTTACAGACACATGTCCTATCACATTGTCAGATGCCCAGAAGAAGATGACTATGAAATCCAGTATATTTTTGCCGTGGCAGTGTGGGCCTTTAAATGAGGTGTGAGTGCCTGCATGCCATGACTCCATGGTGCAGGTGATCTGTAACTGTTCCCAGTAGTGCCAGCTGAAAAGCTGACGGCCTGACAGGCTATCCATTCCTGGCTGTATGGCTTTCCTTCCCAGTGACTTGGGTGAGCATTCATCTATGCCTCAGTGCCTTTGAATATTCCTTACCAGAATCATAATGACTCACTAGGTAAAGCTGCTGGAAAAATATTTGGCCCAATAAGAACAGAATTCAAGTGGTACCTTGCTGCCAGAAGCCAGAGCATAGCCTCCACCGACCAGAATGACAATCTCCCAGGGCATGGTCTTCTGGAAGTCCTTCCACGTGATGATGGGCTCCATCCCCAGTGAGGACGCCTGGTTCTCCCCTGGAGCACGGACACACAGAGAGGCAGAGCCAGATGAACCCTAGTGGGTGGGACTTGTGATTAGGGCCTAGCTGATGAACCTGATGATTTGACCGCTCTGCTACTGGGGGAGTCAGAAGGCCTTTGGTGGGGCTCCTTCCGGAAATTCTGACTTGCGTGTTATTCCCTGGAGCCAGCCCCAGCTTCTTCCCTTGAACTTCTCTCACCGTCAGTCTTTTTCCCAAAGCTAGGCTTCTTTGCTGGAATCAGGAAGAGGAGGAAGCCCAGGAAGACAGAGACTGTGGCATCGGTGCGGTAGCCTTTTCTGGCAAAGAGACAGACAGGGCTGGAGGAGGGTCGGGAAGCCTCAGGGCTCTGTGCTGGCTCAGGCCGGTCTGTCTGAACACAGTGCCTCTTTTTAGGGCCTTGTTTACGGGGGGCATCTGCCTGACTTCTTGAGGTTGCTGCCTGGTACCCAGCAGTGGATTTAATGGGCAGTGTTAATGTCTGGAGGCAGGGCCTGGCTAGGGTAGATGACTAGTGTGGATTTGTGGGCCTGCTAGCAGTGAGTGGAGTCATTTAGGTAAAGGAGAGTAGAAAAGGATGAGTCCTCTTCATAGAGGCTCACACCTTCACGTGTATCTTTTCTCAAAGGAAGCCATGCTGAGAGAGCCTGTGGCCTGTGGCCCTGGCCCCCGACTAGGAATATGCAGGCATGGGGCAGGAATTCACCTTGCTGCACCCTCCAGAGGCCTCAGCCACTCCGTGGGTGTAGTCTCTTTATGGTTGGTATTATATCTTCTTTAACTCTTGTGACAACCGCGGAGGTAACTGAGGTCCCAAGAGCTTAAGTAACAAGACCAAGTCACGGGCTGCTAAGTGGCAGCACTGGATCCCAACCCCAGACTCAGATCTCAAGACTGTATTTTCTTCCTGAACCCAGCTGCAGCTTCCCTGAAAAGGGAACTTTCAAGAGAATGAAGTGCCTCCTTGGCTTATGACTGCCCCTAAGAGCCCAGGAGGGACCTGGCTGGGAAGGCCAGAAGAGTCTGGGTGATGGGATTGTTTTGGAGCAGACAATAGCACTTACTTTTCAAAGAAAGAATCCCAGCCTGGAACAAAGCCAGGCTCCCGGGTGAACCACAGCAAGGTCATCAGGATGAAGAAAAATCCAGTCACCATTTCAGGGTAGCTATACAATAAAACAGAAAGACCCCTCCAGGACCTGGGAGGTTTCTGTTAGCTTTCGTACTTTGCCCCGGGCTGCTCCTATACTCAGAGCTGCAGAACTGCAGGACAGAACACACGGTGACTTCTGCCCCGCTCAGAGTGGCTGATGGTGAAGTGGGAAGAGGGCTGAGATGATGCCAGGAAATACGAAATTACCCATTTTACTGGAGAAATGTAGGTGGGAAGGGAAAGATGATACAGCACCATACATTTATCAAATAATTTAAAGTACAGCCTGCAAAGGAGAAGGCAGTGAAATTGGCCCCTCGAGTCCTGCTGGTGGGGGTGGGAATTGCTACAACAACCTTTCTGAGGCAATTTGACAGAATGTTTCAGGAGCCTGAAATTTGGTCACTCCTCTGAGAAAATAACCAGAAATGTACAGTAACACATTACCTATTAAAAAATTAAGCATTAAAAAGTGGAAACAGCTTACATATCCAGTTATCTAGTGATATTAAATGACATTAAGTACATTTTGGTATAACTGTATGTTAAAATGAGATGCATCTAATAATCTTATTTCCACAGCAGAATTAAATGACCTGGGAACATAATGACAGTCTAATGCTAAGTGAAAAAAGGCAAGATATAAAACTTGTGTTCAGGATGGACTGAATTTTACCAAAAAAATACATAATTTTGCTCAAAAAAAAGCATGGAAGCAAGAGTACATCATGTTAACAGGTCTTAACGGTTAATGTTGGAATTCTAGGAATACAAATCAGTTTTAACTTTTTCTTTATAGTTTCCTGTATTTTCTAAATGTTTACAGTGAACATGTATTCCTTATATAAACTAAAGTTTAAAAAAATACACCTTATACCTGAATCCTTCTACCCAAAGTTGTACCTGCCAATTGCCATAAAAGGTGAAATGGCACCAAATAGGATGCTGGGTCACTGGGAAAGCTGATAAAAATAAACTGGCTGAGGGTTGGCGGTGATTTCTTGGACCCTCTGTCCTCAGTCTGTGTTTGATGCTGTCTGATGCTCTCAGTGCAGTGCAGAGTCCCCTTGCAGCCACTGGACCCCTGGGGGCCCCTTCACAGCAATGTGGGGAGTGCTGCCCTGAGAGAGAAATTGCACCTGTCCCCAGAGTGTGGCCGTGCTCTCGTGTTACCCTTCCTCTGGCTGCCCATCTGCTCCGCCCCCATGCCACGCTGTACCGTAGGCTTGGAATATAGCAAAGAGCAAGGGTGGATGTCTGGGGCCTGGGCCAGCCAGACATTGGCGTTGAGTAGCTCCTCTAAATGCCCAGATTCATAGTTGTGGAAAATTTCCCCAGCTCAAGGGGCTGTTGAGAACAACGCTGCTTCTGTGCTCACTTTACCTGCCCTGCTTTCTCTCCTGAGGAGAGAAGGTAAAATGGCCGATTTTTACCTAATGGCTCCGAGCTTTTCATATTCCTCTTGGATCCTCTTCTCTGACAGCTCTTCCCTTTTGGTCTTCTTCTTCTTGCTTAGAGAACAGGTCTCTTTAAAACTGAGAAGGAACAGTGAGCAAAAGAATAAAGCATGCTTCTGAGGCCCAGAGACCAAGTTTTAAGCAAATACTGAACTGTACTACTGGCTTGCCGTGATCGGTTTTCTCCTCCTCACTCATACGCTCTGCCCCTCGAACCCCCATCATACAACTTTTATCTGCCAGGTTGCAAAGTCTCTTCTCAGCCTTCTCCCTAGCATTTTGGGTGTATCCATCTGAGTATACTACTGGTATATCAATGTGAAATCATGTCTCCGGACTGGTGCAAGTTTATTTATGTGGATGGTTTCTACATGTCTTCTACGTAAGTGAGAATCAATGTAATGTGGCATATGTGTGTAGATGTTTATATGTTTGTGTGCATGCATACACAGGTGTGTGTGTGTTTATCTGACTAGAGAAAAGGCTTGTCTGGGATGAAAGTGGTGTTAGTTTTGTTAGCAACGTTGGAAGTAGAGAAGTGTACAGCTATCATTGATTTGACAATAGTTTTTGAGTTATTAAAAAAATACTTTTCAACTCAGACTTCTTATAAATTCATAGTTCCTCAAACCAGTTAGTTGGAATTAAGAACATTTCATTGTTGAGCTTATAGTGCAGGGCAGAGTGTCTAGAACCAGTTGTGCCTGAATCCCCATCTAGCCCACCGCGTTCTTCTCAGGGCATCCTCTGTGGTTACGCGGCAGCTCCTTCTTGATCGGTGCCCTCCAGGGCTTGTGCCATGGCCTTGGATGGACAGGGGAGCCTGAGCTTCTTGCTGGCAGGGCCCTGGCACTCACTTGCAGCCCAGGAAGAGCCAGTGCATCCAGAACCAGCTGACCACCAGCATGATGAGGGAGATGGGGAAGCTGAAGAGGAACCAGGTGCCAAAGTTGACCACTTCTGCATCTGGGTACTGGCTGGAGGGGGAAGAGCCAGGCCAACAATTAGAAAAGGTAGATTTGCATGCAGTATTTTGGGGTAATAAGCTAAATACTCTTTGAGAAGACATACAGAGAGCTAACAGAGAGAACAGTAACAATATGGTAACATGGTATCTAGGTCTCCCTTATTTGGTAGTTGTAACTGTCCAGAGCCCAGGCAAGAATTACAGAGTAAGCTAAAAAAAAAAGGCATCTAAGCAACCAAAATTGCTGTCACCGAAGGGTATACACTCTGCACTCAGGACCTCTTGGCTTAATTTACATGAAGGCTCTGATCAGTTTACTCATTCATTTGCATGACAACAGAATGGAGAGGCCAGTGTGGTGTATACTTTGTTTATAAAGGCACTGAAGGAATATGAGTTTTGATTGGAGCACAGAAGGTACCAGTTCTGGAGAACTTGGGACTCTAGAGCCTCAGAAGGTTCCAGGTGTTAACTGTGTCCATAGGACACAGGATTTGGCATCTCTCTTTTGTCAACATCCTCTGCTGTCTTAAGGTGCCAGGGAGGTTACCCAGAGGCTTCTCCATTCATGTGCAGGCAGAGCTGGGGCCCCAATCCAGGTGTTGTTCCCTGGGGAGCCATGATGTTAAAAAATTATTGAGAATTGCCAGATAGTGACAGCAGAGCATGAGGTCAAGTGTGGGCCCTTCTGAGCAGGTGGCCCTGTGTTGCATGCCTATGAAGGCAGCTTTGCAGGCCACTGACACCAAATCTATGCCTTTAACCTGAAAATTTCTCTCGAGATTCAGAGCTGCGTCTCCAACTGGATATCTCAGCCTCCATGTCATTTCCTCATCTGTCCCATCATTTAGGTCACGGGTACCTCTCCAGCTGCCGAAGCCACTAGCCTCATTCAGACGTGGCCTTTCTCTCTCTCAGCCTCTCTCTAACCCTCCAAAGGCCAGTCAGGTCTGCCTCTGAATCTCTCACATCTGACCGTTTCTCCTCCCCATGGCCACTGTTATCCAAGCCACCATCACCTCTCTCCTGGGCATCTGCAGCAGTGTCCTAAAGTGTCTTCCTGCTGTCTGCTCTTCCCTTTCTAAGCCATTCTCCATTTAAAAATTTTAGAATGAGTTTTCAAAGCTAAATCTGATCATCTCATTCCCTGCCTAAAATTCTTCAAAGGCTTCTCATGGCCTTTTGGATGAAGTCCAAGTTCTTTAATGGGCCTTGTGAGGTGCTTTGTGATCTTCATGTCCACCTCCTTGGCCTCCGTTTGCCCTCTGTCATTTCCTTTCATGTGCTCTGTGCACTAGCCTCTGAGTCCTCCTACGTACTGTTTTCTTGTCTGGAAAAGCTCCTTTCATCTGCTTTCCTCCAGCTCCTGCTTCAGGGCTCCTCCTTCATCGTTAGCTTTTTGGGGACACACTTCCTCCCCCTAGCCTGGGTGAGCTCTCTCAGAAGCGTGACCCCAGCGGAGGCCTGCCCTTCTCCCATCACAGTGAATTGTCATGACTTGGTCATCGTCTTCTTTCTTGGCACAGAAATGGCTAGTTTCATTTTCTGCTGTATCCTTAGCACCTAGTTCTGTTTCTGACACATAGCGGGTAGTTAGTTAAAAAAAAAGTGAATTACTTACCTGTTGAAGTGTTCCAGGAAAATGAGGCTGGTGGAGGTGCCAATGATGGTGGTCAGGCCCCCAATGGTAGCCGAGTAAGATATGCTCAGAGAGAGGCACTTGCAGATCATTTGGTCATGCTGGGACTTGTACCTTCTGTTGAGTTGGTTCCTGGGGCCTGGGGTCAAGACTGTGTTGGTCTTTTCCTATCGAAAGAAAATCAGTGACTCTCTCCAACCATGTGGGCTGCCCAACACACAGAGCATGGACACCAGGGGCACGTGGAACTGTGGAAAGATTTTGTGCCTCGGTATCAGAAAGACAAATGCCAATCCCAGTTCTGCTATTTACCAACTTGGGCAGCCCTTCTGAGCTGCAGTTTCTTCTGTAAAATGGGGAAAATCCTATTTTCTCTGCCAGATTGTTGTGAGAGTAAATGAAGTAATACATGTAAAGCACTTAAAATGCTTCCTGACATTTAGAATGGTAAGCTATTACCATTTTTGTTACTAAGGTGAACAGCACACTCTGTTTTTTACTTGAACTCCAGTAAAACTGATTGTTCTCCACTTTGTCTTTGAATAACAAATAGAAGGTGGTTATTCTGTCTGGAGTTAGAATGACAGTCCTGGTTTGGAGATGACTGAAAAATAAGGCTTGGATTACAGCAGGAACCTAGCTTTCACAGGGCCCAGGGTTGAAATGGGAGGTTCTGTCCTTCCTCCCTTCCTTACGTTTTTCTCCTCCTTGCCTGTTGGTTTCCTCCCCATACCCGCCTCCCCTTGCAGATGTCACAGCCTCCCTGTGGTCCTCTCAGGCCCCTCGTGGTCCAGGTGATGGCCTTTCGGAGTCAGAGGCTGCTGGTCTCAAGTGTAGATTAAAGAAGTACACATGCCATCTGCCCCTCCGGGCCTGGCCTTCCCTCACTGAGGCTTCATGAGACTAGGAGTGGCCTGGTGTAAATATCAGCAGACCAGGCCATAGGAAAACGATGGCAAAGAGGCTACCTTGCCTCATTTCTCAGAGCCCTTAGCCACTGCCCCATCCCCCTAGGAGGGCCCAGGTCAGCCTGGACCCTTCCAAACCTTCCTGAAAGACTCATTGGTTACCAGAACTGGAAGAGACTTCATAGATTCTCTGATCCAGTGGTTTTCCATGATCCTCTCTTCTAATGACATTTTACAGGGATCTCCCAATATAAAAAACATAAATGTAGCATTTGATTAGCACACATCTGTTTTGTAACTGAAAGCGTACACGTGGTCAGAGAGACTTGGGTTTGAATTGAGGTGCTCCTCTCACTCGCTCTGAGGCATTAGGCACATGATTTCATCTCCCTGCCGCATCTGCAAAAGTGGAGTTCAAGATTGCTCCCTCACCGAGCCAAGACTAGAGAGAAAATTCTTTGCACAGGGCTTGGTACATAGTAAGTGTTCAGTAAGTGGTGGCAGTTATTTCTGATGATGATGGATGTTAAATAATTGAGATTATTTTGATGGATAAAAAAACTTGAAATAAAGGATTGTAAGTAACAGTTGTAATTTTATACCAGCTTCAACATTTACTTTATTTTTGCATTTTGTTTCAGTGGTATAGTACCAAGAAAATCCTTATTCACCCAGAAAAGCAGTTTTCTTAAAATCTTAGGATAGGCAAATAAAATATTTGCAATATCCCTGAAGCACCTTTGAGAAACAATTTGAACACCTCTGATCTAGACCAGCCTTCAGTTTTGTAGATGAAGAAACTGGGGCTCAGACAGTAGGATGACTTGCTGAAATCATCAGTGCGTTAGGTGTTTATCTCCATGGCACATGCAGGCCAGACATGTCTGTGGATAGAGTGCCTAGCCCTGATGCCCTCACAGCTTCAACACCGTGCCCCATGGGTAGTTGAAGGCATTTCACATAGGAAACAGGGCCAGGAGGTGTAGTTCCATTACCTGGGACAGTGGCGGCTGCTTGCCCAGCTGGTTTGCTGTTTTGGTGGGATTGGCAATCCTGGGCACACCGTTCAGGTTCTGTCACAACAAAGATTGTCACACTCTCAGGAAGAGAATGTGGTGGGCCTCAAGGACCCTCTTACTGTCCTAGGGCACCTCATGCCTCAGCACTGTGGGAATCGGAGACCAGAAGCCAGCAGAACATGCAAAAATGATACATTATAATTTTTCTTTGACACAAGGAAAAGAAAGAATCATACACAACAAATGTCCACAGCTGGGACTGATCAAAGTCCATCTGTTTGGACCAATGTTAAGAAGAGATGTGAACCCAGCTTTGGGGGACGAGGGAGAGGCCAAGTAGCAGTGTGCAGGCAAACTATGTTTTCCTGTATAAATGTGTTCCTTTTTAGAATACAATTACTGTAAATAGAGTCCCCAGTCAAGGAATTCTGAGGGTGAATATGTGGCTCCTGAAAGTCTGGATGGCCGAGTATTAGATTTTCATGGAAAAGGTTATCCTGTACTTGATGTGGTTAAACCCGCTCAGGGCTGGGCTGCAGAGCTCCGCAGGCCCTCCCAGGAGCCCAGCTAGCCCGTCTTGGGTCCGGGCTCATGTGCACCCCACTCTGTTCTCACATCAGTGGCCTCTGGGCTCAGGACAAGCTGCCAGGCATTTCTGTCCCTGAGTTACCTTGAGGGACTTTCAAGTGATCTCAAAGCACAGAAAAACCCAAGGCTGTACCTTGTTCTGCATCAGAGAAGTGAAGTTTGCAGTCGACGAGCTGAAACAAAGCAAAGGAGATGGAAAAACAATGGAGGACCAAACTTCACGAGCTGGGAATTCTCCCCACACATTGGCATTTGTATGAATGACCTCTTAGACTCTGGTTTTCTAGGCTACAAAGAAGACTAATCTCACCCTAGTCTTCCTCCCCTTCCAGAGATGCTGTTGGGATTCGTGGAGAATGGGACGGCATTTCCTTTGAAGTGACACACTGTTAATCATAACTAACATGCAGAGCTTATTAGGTGCCGAGCACTAAGTTTGGGCTTCAACCCTCATAGCATGGTTCATCCTCATACCAGATTGGGCTGCAGCTATTTCTGCTTTACAGAGTAGGAAAGCAGGCAGAGAGAGGTTCCGAACCTTCCCAGGGCACCGGGACGCTATGTGGTGGCACCCATCTCTGTCTGAGAGCTTGGGCCCCTGACCACCTACTCTCTCACTGGCTGGCTCAGTGAAGGTCACTATCTAGAAAGAGAAACTTTTGAAATCTTATCTGAGGCGATGGGAGCAGGGAGTGCCTGGCTGCTCCCGGTGAAAGGCAGGCGGGAACACCTGAGGGAGAAGCTGATCAGCGCCTGCACCTCTGGGCGGCCGGCAGCTGCACCAGCGCAGACTCTCCCCTCGGCCTGGGGTAGGGGCGGATGGATTTAACCTTCAGCAGTACTGACCTACACTGAGTACTGAATGCACGTGTAGTTCTGAGGATGGAGTGCTGTGAGCTCACTATGAAGACGAGGTGTGGGTGCACACCCACGACCTGGAGCCCCTGGCCTCGCCCTTCTCCAGGCCCCATCGGGAGGACAGGTTGCTGCTGAGGGCTCAGAGGCATGCATTTGCTGGAGGGTGTTGTAGCCTGATGGGTAGAGTTACAGTGTTCCTCCCCCTCCTTCCCAGATGGGTGAGGAGGGCAGGCAAGGAACCCCTTGGACAGCATGGGAGGGGCTGGCCACGGGAGAACACTGCCGTCCTCACATGGCCAACGGCCTGGCTCCTGCCAGCGCTCCTGATGAGAGTTCTAGGGACACCTGGAGCTTTTGCTGTGGCATCTGGGGACAAAGGCAGGAAGTCGGTGGGCACTCCTGAGGGGCCAGAGTGAGGGGGGAGACCTGCTGCAGCGGGAGTGGCTGTCATCTCTGTGACATCCATGTCAGCAGGGCAGTGATGGGCGTCTCAGGGGTGGGCACACAGAGGGTGGCGGGCTAGAGCCATGCTCAGAAGGCCCTGCCCAAGAGGCGGAGCAGCCCCAGAGCAAAGGGCTCTGGGGGTGTGGGGGGGAAGCCCCAGAGACACAGCCAGGGGAAAGCGCCTCACCCCTGCCATCAGGCTCTGCAGAGGTCACCTCAAAGGGACACTCCTCAGACACTGGAGGTGGGGGCCTGACAAGAGAGCTGGGATCCGAGGGTCAGAGAGGCACAGCAGCACTGCAAGCCCTGCAGCCCAGCCCCTTTCTGCCTGCACCTTCCCTGCGCCCCAGCCTCTGCCTGGCCCTGGCCAAGTCGGGGTGAGCGGGCAGAGTGGGGCAGCTCTCCCCACCCACCTTACTTAGCGTGGCTCTCCCACCGCTGTCCTCCAGCTCCCTCCCTGTCACCTGAGCCTCTTCTGTCATATCTAACAAGGTCACATCTAGTAAGACCACACCAAACATCTGAAAACTACTTTGTGATTCTCTAAGAGTCTCCAGTGATACCTCTTACGGGAGTATTTTTCCGTTAATAGATTAAATTAATTCCTAAGAAAGGTGTATGGACCATCCATATACCCCCCCAGATCCCTTGGTATAGTTTTCTCTCTTCCCTTATCACTGCAATACTCTGTGGTTAAGGAAGTTGCCCTCAAGGTCGGGTCAGGTCTTTCCTGGGTGTGGAGAGGAAATTGGGGCAGGGGGAAGTGGTAGTGTGGCAAGAAGTGAGCTTGGTGCCCCCATGTAACACTGCTGTGTATGGGCTCAGGTCCCAGCTTCCCTGACCTGGAGGAGACCTGGAGAGGCTCTGGGAGGAAGCAGTTCATACTCACTCTTCATTGACAAAGATGAGTTCCAGAGAAGGTTGGCTGTTTACCTCCAGACCTACAGTGGCAAAGGAAAGCTGTTAGTGGAATGTGGAGGCTGGAGCAGCCCCGGAGGCAGGGGCTCAGGGCTGGGGCTGAGTGCGTGAGCGGGCGTAAAGGCTCCTGCGGCTGACATCGGGGCTTGGCAGGGCCCGTGGACAGACAGGCCCGGGGCTGTGCCATAATCCGGAGCATTTGGGGGAAGGAGCAGTGGTGGCCGCTGCAAGTGGGGGAGGAAGAGCTGGGAATGGGGCCAGAGGGAAGCTAGAGCTGTATGGAGAAGCAGCAGCAGGTGGGGCCAGGGTCACAGGTGAGGGGGCCACGGGGATGGGCACGGAGCTGGGCTATGTCGCAGAAGAGAGTGGGGGAGCAAAGGGGAGATGAGCTCCAGCAAACTGTACTGATGGGCTCGGCCTCTTCGGTGCTGGAGTTGCCAGCCACGAGCTGCTCCTCCTCGGCACTGACCAGCGCCTGCAGCACAGCCTCCACGATGGGCATCACCATGGCGGTGGTGGACGTGTTGGAGAGCCACATGGACAGCAGTGTGGTGCAGCACATGAAGCAGAGCAGCAGCCTGCAGGGAAGGGAGGGCCGGGCTGAGCGCTGCTGGGGCCGCCATCTCCAGGGGCTGAACCTTGCACCTCATGGTGCTCCTTTGGGGTTCCCTGCAAACCCGACATTCTGGCATTATCCAGAAAAGTGGATTTTTATGTCATCCATTCAACTCTGGGCTCCCAGGCTTGGCATAGAGTAAACACTGAGTAATTGTTGGATGAAGGAATCACACTTCATGAGCTAGTGGCCTTAGCCAGGGAAAAAAAACCTTACTTAAACAAAGAATAGCTTTTGTAGTTGGGTCACAGGGCAAGTACTTGCTGATGGCTTGTCTGTCTTCGCAGACATTAGCTCTTGGTGATGATGTGTGTTTTTGTGTATAAAGGAATTCTTTTTTTTGCTCTTGGAATTCTTTTTTTTGCTCTTGAAGCCAGCAGTTCTACAAACACTATTACATTTCTTGCTTTGCAACCAAGTCACCACAGTTATTAGTGACTAAATAGTAATGCATAGAGCTTACAGGCCCTCCCACTATTTCTCCCGCTGTCAGCATGCTGAAAGTAAAGGCCTTAAAGTCCTGTGACTTTAAGTGTCCCATATCACTGCACTTTTTCAGCTGCTTATCTTAAAGAGTCAACTTTCAGAGGAAAACATGAAAAGATAACTCTCCAGTTATTTCTCTTTGACTCTGAAAACATGCAATGTGTGTTTGTATGGACGTGGTTCTCGTTTCTGTAAGGTAAGCCCACATGAAGACGACCCATCTTTATTACGTTAGGTGGGATCATTGACTTTGCACAAGTTGGGGATAGCACTCCTGTCACATGGATTATGTCTGGGCAGAGGCCCAAGTCCTGATGGTGTTTTTCTTTAGGCTGACAGTGACGTGAGTTCACCTGTGCTGGACAGGGTTTCCATGGGGGGGGAAACATGCTGGGGGATGGCGTAAGTGGAGAAGAGTGAAAACTTCTGGAATAAGCATTCTCAAACATAGTACACAGAGATTTTAAAGAGTTGCAGAGTCCCCCCATGATGTGAGGAAATGCTGTTGTGTGCCTAGAAGGTTGAGAGAGGGGTACAAGATTATTACTGAATGAGGGGTGAACAATGCTGAATTAAGTGTAGCTTAGTGGGAGGCAGGAACATACCTTTAAGCCTAACCTGTATTCATCTAAGTGACTAATGTTGAAAATGAATGCTATATTGATTATTTATACTCTATTGGACTACCAAAGGAGTCAGGGCAGCTTAGAAAAAGTGTCTCAAGAAAGTTGTACACTGGAAGGAGGTAAGATCCAGCTCCAAAAGGAAGATGGGTCGAGTTATCCAATGGAGCAGAGGTGAGCTTTAACACAGAACTGTCAATCCTGAATTTCCTAGACATATCCCAAGGCTGGGAATCTCTCTGCAGCCTTCTTGACAGCAGAGAGAAAAGAGGAAGCAGCTAGGGCATAGTGCATTGTAGACGCACGTCAAATGCAGCATGTGTAACCAGGCCTGTGGTCTGAGCCAATGACAGTGGAATCCCAGGGCAGATGGAAACCTCACTCTCCTTATATGACAAAGGAGAACACACCCACTTCCTCATGCAGCCTGTTACACTGGAAGAAGGTTGGGAAACAGTTCTGTTGGTCCATCTTTTTTTCACGTAAGGAGCCCCGTACGTCTTGTGACCTACTGCCCTTGCAGACTAGGTTGCTCAAGTAAGTTACTTAGATTGTGATGATAAATGACACCAGTGTCATACACTCAAATGTCTATTCTTTGAGCATGAGCCCTCTCACTGGAGGGGTGCATAGGAGCCTGGTGGCCCCGATGCCATCCCTTACCCCATTAGTAGAACAGCCTGAAGTGGACATCCCTGTGCCCTAGGACCACTGTCCAGGTGGCCTACTGGGAGCTGAGGGGATGCACTATGGCCAGGTACCCCAAGTGAGACTTACATGCCCGGCTTGGCTCCAGCAATCATGACCATGCGTAGAGCAATGCGCTTATGTAGGTTCCACTTCTCCACAGCAGCTGCCACGCAGATGACGCCCACCAGCAGCAGCGTGGTGTTCTTGAAGTACTCCGCGGCCACCTGCAGGAGGCCAGCGCAGGTCAGCTCCCTCCCCAACCCAAGGCGCAGCCTGGAGGGGCTTGGGCTGTGCCCACAACATTCATTCTCAACTGAAGGCGGGCAAATAAGAAGCAGGGAGATGAGGGTTATTAAAATAGCCGACTGTTGTGAGATATCTATATAGATGGGTGCTACATATACATCCATATACACTGCCTTGGGCGGCACTGTGCTAAACACATTACAAAGATTATTTCATTTAATCTGGCCAGTAACCCCTTAGGGGGGATAATCTCCACTTCTAAAAAAAAAATAAAAACACTGTATTTAATTATGATATAAATAGAACTTCAAAGAACATATTCTTTTAATTTTATCTTAAGCCTTAAAAACTATTAAAACAATCCTGGGTTTCTACCTCAAACTCATTTTTTTCTTTAGCTTTTTAGAAAATTATGTCATTTTTTTTATTAGAAAGTTAATATATGCTTAGTATGGAAAACTTCAAACATAAAATTTAAAGACTAAATTCCCTTAATCCTACAACTGTTTAAAACTTTGGTACATTTCCTTCAATTTAATATGATGCATAATTGGACTTATACAATACGTATAGTTTATATCTGGTTTTTTTTCCATTTTATAACATACCCTGAAACATTTCTGATGAGATCTAAATCTGGTTAGAAAAATTCATGCTAATAACAGCATAGTGTACCACAGACTTGATGTGGCCATTTTCCTTTTGTTGATTATTTAGGTTGATTGCTTTTTCTTTTTCTTTTTTACTACTACAAACGGAGCAAAGAACAGTTTTCTGCTTAAATTGGTCACCTTATATAAATGTGATTATTTCTTTAAGAGAATCTTTGAAGGTGCCTCTATAATTTGCCTTAAATCTTTACAAAAATTTTTAAATTTAAAGAACTCCAAATAATTCCAAAGTCCAAAGAATTCCAAAATGGAAATAGTATAAGGAACCCCTGTACACTGCCTATATTGTTTTTTCTGAACCATTTGAGGGTATGCTCCATACATTTGGCCCTTTACCCCTAAATACTTCAGTGTGTTTCCTAATAATACGGATTTTCTCTTGCACAACCACACTACCAGTTATAACTTCTTTCTACTTTTTAATGATGAGAAAATTGTGACCTACGTTTGTTAAGATGTTTCTCATGTTTGCGACACTTTTCATTGATTCCCACATGTGGAACGTTCTCATCTCTGCTTTACATACTGCTCAGACTTCAAAGCCCAGTGCAGGCCAGGTGGCCTCCAGAAAACCTTCCTTGTGACTCTAGCTTCTTACTCCAGAACCTTCTCTGGGTGCACCATTAATTCCACACACTACAGAGCACATAGGACAATCCTTCATACTTGTACTATTTGTTTTCTTATGCATACCTGTCTTGTCTCTCTAAATTTTAGGTTGCAAAATGCCAAAGACCATGTTTCTTTCTATATCTCTTAACACCTAGTGGACCAGGTTTTTCATTATGAACTTCTCAGTATTATTTGATTTTTAAACTCTGCATGTAACACTTTGATAGGATAAAACACAAAATAAAGGCAACTTGCTCTATTTTCCCCTTCTCTCTTTTGCCCCGTGGAGATTTCCTTGTCTATGGTTATGAGGTTTGTGTAAGAGAAGGGTCATCTGACCCCTCTGTGATCACTTCCTGGAAGAGCCCTCTGCTTCTCGTTATAGTTGACCCTTGTATATGCAATGTGGGGGTTAGGGGCCTGACTCACATGCAGTCAAAAATCCACATATAACTTTTGGCTCCCCAAAAACTTAACTACTAATAGCCTACTGTGGACCAGTATCCTTATCAATAGCAAAAACAGTTAACACATATTTTGAATGTTATATTCATTATATATACTAATATTAAAGTAAGGTAGAGAAAAGGAAAAAATTTTAAGCTGTTGCAAGTCTCCCCAAATTTTTCCAATATGTATTTATTGAAAAAAAGTGTGTATTATTGGATATGCAGTTCCAACAGGTGTTTTTCAAGGGTTAGCTGTAATCTAATTCTGGTCCCCAAAGCCAATCCTCAGCTGACACTCTTTGTAATGCTCTCTGAGTGCGGAGAAGGCCTCCTGTTCTGCTGGGCTTGTGAGTCTAGGACAGAATTCCCTCTGGGAAGGGTGGGAAGGCCTCTGGGCTGTGACATGGGTGAAGATGCTGCCCCCTAGTGGGAGGTGGAGCACCTCTGGGATACCTGGGACCTTTCTCACTGCACCCTTACCTTCCCAAGTGACTAGGAAGCAGCTCAGTGGGGTGAAATCGGTGTTTTATTTTCCTCTTTCTACAGAAGAGGGAAACCCACATAAGGCATAAGACATGGTAATCCTGGGTGACTGTCCCCCCACTGGTCCCATCAGGGTTATTACGGTAGCTATTATGGTACCAGGGGACTGACTGACATGTTAGTTTTCTGCCTCTGGCACATGTTGTAATGGAATACCTGTTTGTGCTGGCCTTTTAGGAGGCTCAGAGCCTACAGAACAGTGGGGCTGCTTTCTCTGGGTTCCTTTCAAAGGGAAGAAGAAAGGAGTCAACATGTATAGAGTGTCTTCTCCATGCCAGAAAATGTTCATTCTGCATTCCCATCCTCATTTGTGCTCCACAACAGTCTCAGAAGGTGGGTACTGTTAATTTCTCACTTTGCAGGTGAGAAAACAGACTCAGAGAGGTTAAGGAAGGTTTCCAAAGTCACATTGTGGATCCAAAGCTCCTAGACAACATGGCGCTTGGGGTGAGACAACTGGAAACCATTCAACTACTTCAGCTCAAGGGGAGTTTTCTTGGACTCTCAGACACCATAGGTCAGCACACATTTTTCATCTTCATCTATGATGACAACCCTGACACTGGCCATAACTATCTGGGCCTGGGCCAATGTAAGCCTGGGTGTTTGGTGGACTCAGATATGTTCACAGGCCCTCCCTACCCCCTTGTAAGTGATGTCATGTGCTGGAGCAATGAAGCCTCCATATAGTTTGTAATTACAAGGTAGCCCAGTCAAGTGGGGAAGAGTGAGGACCCCAGGGTTAGCCAGGAATCAGCTGTGTGACTCTATGAGTGTTGTTCAACCTCTTTGGGCTTTGTTTTCTCATCTGAAAAAACAGTAGGGATTAGGTGAGTCCCTATCTCTTATAAAGCTTTTGTGAAGATTAAATGACACATGCAAACCAGCCAGCATGGTCTGCCACCTTGGCAGCCAGGATTCTTGGCCGCTCTTCCTGCCACTAAGTGGTTCATCCAGAGACTGCCCTGCTTCAGGCCACTAGCAGACAGAGCGGGCCAGTCACAAGGCTGTCTTTTCACTTTCATAAATGAAAATCCTGTCCGATGGTGGTGCTTGTTAGTTGTTTAGCTCATTGATTTTTCTTTTACAATAAAACCTTGGTTATTTGGAAGCCCTCAGGGAACACCAGAGTTCCAGGATTCTTGAGGATTATTTTAATCATTTTCTAAAGTGAGGCTTGCACACTCATGGTTGCCACGAGCATGCCGTTCCCCACTAACTTCCGAGACTAATACTGTGTGAGTTGGGAAACAGATAATGAAGCTCGTTAGAATTATTTGCGAAGAAACTTGCAAAATGAGCATGCCTTCCATGAGTAGAACGCATGATCTTTGTGACTTTTGCATTGGCACTTGTATGCTTTTCTGCTCTGTGGTTTTTCTCATTATGCCAAAACACTGAGCTTGGAGAGCAGAGGCATTTCTGGACTGCGTTTTAGAAGAGATGGGCTCAAGGAGGCCACTTTGAGCAGGTGGAGAGACGAATGGTGCCAGCGTGGGCTCTGAAGCTCAGACTCCCTGGATTTAAGTGGCTGCTCCCTGCAGAATGAGTTGTTTGCCAATGGAAAAACTGCTGAGCCCCTGGGCCCCTCTCACTCCAGCCTTTTCAGTGGCAATAGTAATGGCTCATAACCTGTGCTGGCGTGGCCTTCAATAAGATATTGCAGGCGGGCTCTACAGTGCCTGGCACGTAGAAAGTATTTGATAAATGTCTGTTGTTAGCATTAAAGAAGTAAAAAATGATAAAAAGCTTCAAGGTGAGATTGAGGGTTTGCAATCAGGTGTGCCAGCATGATCACATGAGGGAATAAAGGAAGTGAATGAAATAAGAAGGAGCAAGGTGGACCCAAAAGACAAAGACGATTTTTCTTAAGCAAAGCGTGAGTGCAGGGAAAAAGCTTTCTGGCCCAGCCTGGATTGAAAAGCACCGGGGCAGAGTACTAGCAAGTCATCTGTTAACTAACGAGTTCACTGTTAGTGAATTGCAGGTGACATCTATTAACAATAAGCTTTTTAAAACATTACCACAAAAAGCTTAATGATAGGATTTCTTTGGACACAGAGCTATTTATTGCTCTCTAGATATATTAGGTTTTGAATTTTTAAAAAGCTTTTTAAAAAGGGGAGGAGCTAATTATGGCTCCATTACTAGAAGTTTGAGGGGAATGGAAATCTGGACATTAGCCTTAGCTCAGTGCCGTGCTCAGGGAGGTCGGAGACGCATAACTCTTCCTCCCTGGGGCCATCCCCAAGGAGGGGGGACTGGGCCGAGCCATCGCTCATGCCCCAGGCTGCGAGAGGCAATTTTATGCTCAGAATAGTCTAAACTCATAACTCCCCGTGAGATAGGTCTATTATTCTCATCTTCCAGTAAATGGCAGAGAGATTATTCAACTTGCTCAAGACTAGTTAGTGACAACACTGGATTCAAACTCAGTCTGCCCTACTTCCAACTTGGACCCTGACACTTTCCACATTGCCCCTCTACTTGCCCGTGGTGGTGGCAGAAGCCGGCAGGATGTGTGGTTGACCACCTCCTGACATGGTCTGTTGGTTGCCTTGGGGTGGGGTGGGGGGTTCTCAGAAGTGCAGCCAGTCGATGCCCTGCTGCTGGCTGCATACATCCAGGCTATCTTTGCAAGTCAGTTGTGGATGGGCCTTCTCAAATGGTGGGAAGGCAGACCCTCAGGGGACCAGTGGTGGC